AACGGAGAGCGGGGACAGCAGAAATGAGGTCCTTGCCGTAACCCAGAGTAGATGTATGACTCGTTCTCGCTTCAGCGACACAGTGCTCGTGTCTAGCAGCACCGCAGCCTCCCATCTCATCGAGGTTAAGCTCTGTCCCTGCTCTTCTTTTCTCTCAGCAGTGGTAAACAGATGCAAGCAAAAGGAAACGTTGTTTGGTCCCAAATTTTTCACATCAGAGCAAAATGGGGCCAAAGAATTTTCAGCTTTTTTCACCTGACCTTTAAAAGCTGGGCAGAGAGAAGGGCGAGCGTCCCGTTTCCAGTTGCTGCGTGGAGGTTGCGTGAGACTGATTCCTTTTAGAGGGAGCATGGAGTAGCCTGAATAAAAAAAGGGATTCAAATGAAAAATGGAAGCCCCGATAAATGCCTTTACTTATTAGATTATATAAAAGGAATATTGCTACAACTTTCAAGTTCTTTCAAACAGCAGAGAAGTTTTATGGCAGAATTTGACTTAAGCCCAAAGGCAAGGAGCGTTCAGAGCAGACGTGGAAGGATGCTCTGTGCCAGGGCAGGCACCCGCACCCGCGTGGTTTAAGAAGGACACAGGCTCCCGTTCTACACACCAAACCCTCTCCTAGTTTATTTTAACATCCCACTTGCCAAATTATCTCTTCCAAGCCTTAAGGGGATCCCCTGTGCGTGCTCCTCATGCAATAAAACTGAGCAAACGTTTCCCGTGCTGGTAGTGCCCGAAGGACCGAGCTTGCATGTCCTCTGCTCCTGCTGGCCAGGGCGGTGGGGATTGTCCTCTCGACTGCGGTGAGCCTGAGGCAACCCTTTACGTGGCTCCCTAGGCCACGTGGCTTGAATTTGCCCGATAAGAGTATCGTACGTGACTGAGCTCTTGCAGGCTGGCGTAAGCACGTTAGCTGAAATGCGCAACTTTTGTCAGTGTTCCGGTTAAAATACCACTTGTAGTTTTGCAGATGCAGCACAGCTGTTTGCACTATTACTCATGCACTTTAATGATTGCAGCCACAGGCTTTTGTATTTATGCAGAGTCCCTACAAGGTAATGTTGATTTTTATTTATTTTTTGGCCTTTGAAACATAAAGCAGGGTCTCCTTGTACAATCTACAATGCCAGCCAGCTTCACAGAACAGCTATTTTGTAACACTGTAGAAAAACCCTTTTGAGCCTGACAAAATAAGGAGCTAGAGAAGATGCCGGCTGGCTGCGCTGTGATAATCAAGTGATAGATGATGGAAAGGAGTCAAACGCTGTGGTCCTGCCTTAGACAAGGCTCTCGCTGAACCTAGTGGGAGTTCAGCTTTTAGGGAGAACTGCAGGAGTGCACTTTTTTTTTTTTTTAATGTTATATGAATGTTACGTGATTACAGGGAACAATGTATTTCTTGGAATAAGATGCTTTAATATTAACATCATTCTTCATTACTTTATAGATGCTGCCCTGTGTAACATGAGAAAGTTTAGTTCCCCTTGAATTAAGGGTGAACTAGTAGCATCCTATTTTCGATGCTCTTTGGAAGCTTTCAACTAAGTGTTACAGAGAAATAGCACGGTAGTTGGAGTTGTCCTGTACTATTCATCACATTCACAGACCTCCACAGCTTCATCTGCACTGAACGGGACTGGGGTCCTAAGCAGCTTCTCATAGTCATAAAGGAAGCCATTCTCTGCTCTTTCTTTTTTTCTCCTATGGAAAGTACAGTATTTTATTAATTTTACCTGCTGTTTTTCCATGACATCCATCACGTTTCATCAGAGAAGTACACTACAGTTTTCTGACACTTTGTTTAGATGCTTGAAATTTCCTCTACAGGTTGAAGGCTTTACTTACTTATTAGCTGACAACTGTTGAAGTTGATTGCAAATAAAAGAGTTTTGGTAAACAAACAAACAAAACCAAAACCCAGACCAAACCAAGAAGCTGTATGTCCTGCTTAATTGATTTTATGGATGGATTTTTTTCTTAAATATCTACTTCAGCTGTGTGAATGTAATGTTCTGTAAGAGCATCATCTGGCTGACTCACATGCGAAGATGCAATAAAGATCTTCTTTTTGCACTTAGGGTCTGACTCCAGCCCATTGCAGTCAGTCCCATTGATTTCAGTGAGGTTTGGATCAGGTCACACTGACAACTCAGGGTTGTCGCCAATCACTTAGGGTCCCAAAGTGTCCCAAGGCTGAAACCTGTATCTAGCAAGTGTTGAAGTTTACATTAAATGTATGTACTTTTGGAACACGTGCCATAAATCAAAGTTAAATGTCCATGTTTGCACTAAGGATGTTCTTGTGATAAGACTGTACTTTTCAGCATCTTTAATGATAATGTATCTATTGAATTTTTGAGAAAGAAAAAAAGAATATTGAACACTCATAATTTAATTTTGTGTTTCTTTGTCTAGTTTTGCTTTTGTAGAACATAGGTACAGGTGGTTTGACTTTTAAGCAGATGTGTGCAAAGAGCATCTGATTGTGTTGAGAGCAGGGTTAACAGTATGCATGCGGTAGTGAATTTGCTTTGTCCCGTCAAAATGAAACATTTTATACTGTGGACTAAAGGGGGACCTGTATGATCTGACTTTGATTTGTGAACCAGGGATTCATAGATACAGTCCCAAACTGTTAAGTTAAAACATACTGGGGAATTTATATTTTTTTTTCCCTTTGGTGACCATTTTTGTATGGAGGAATTGTTGAACTACTTGATGGCTGTGATTGCCTGGGGGGTTCCCCGCCACGCTGGCACGCAGCGGTGGGCACTGCTCCAGTTCGGGTGGCCAGTATTGCGGGTAACCCCCGCACACCCTCAAAAATAGGACCAGCTGAGTCTGAACTGAGCAACACTGCAAGACTAGAGAGGTCCCAGTATTCTTCAGCCACTGGCAATCACAGCAGAGAGGTTTTAAATCACTGAAGGTTATTTCCATCTACTTTAAAATTGGTCACAATGCACTGGCTGGGTGGAGAAGTAGGAGTCTCTTAAGTTGCTGTCAGGGCTGTTCATAGTGGTAACAATTCTTGTGGTAACAGTACACATTTTGAGGTACAACTGTAAATATTTGTCTCAAACGTAGCACACATTGCATATTAAATGGTTTTAATCTTTTTTGTCTTCCATAGTTTTAAATCTAAGCTTTTATTAATTTATGAGGTTGATAAGTTCTGCAAATCTGAATGTACAGTCTGAGATTTTTAACATTTGAAACTTTGCACACGACATGGTATGTTACTTTAAGTATGCTGTTGAACTAGGCTCTTCATGTATATGTTATTATAAATTACAGTAGAGAATTTTCTCTGACTGCAAGTTTAAATGAATTATATTGTATATGTACCTGTAAAAAAATGTGTTAAATCTATATTTAAAGATTAAAAACTTGTTAAATAAATTCATATGAGAATATGCAATTCTGTCCAAAGCCACCTCTGCTATAATTCTGGAGAAAAAACCTAATTCTCACGGTGTTGATTTTATTTAATTTCTTTGGAACAAATACAACCTCCTCACATGCATTTTGATTTTAAAATAAGCAGTGGCAGATGATCCAATTAGCTTCTTGCTGGATGTAGTGGCAATGAAATTGGGAGAGGCACCTTAGCGCTCATACTGACGTCTGAAATAGCAGCTATTGAAACCCTGCCCTGGCTCAGGGTGTGATGGGTGCCTCCATCACCAGCCTCCCCTGCATCCCAGCACCGGGCAAAAAACTCCAGGCTGGGGCTGTGCTCATGGGTGGGTGAGTGGGGGCCGTGTGGGCACCAACAGCCCTTTTGCAGGGGGCGGGGGGGGAGAGGTGGTCCTGGGGGCACATCTCACCAGGCGGGAGGGAGGAGACCCCCGTCAGTGGGGTTATGCCTCTGGGGATGTGCCGTGGTCCTGTGCGCATGCCTGCAGCGTGGTAAAGCCAGTGCATGAGCTGCCTGCGCCCGGCAGCACGGGGTGCCGTTCCCAAAGCCCACGCTGTTTCCCTGTGCACCCCTGGAGTTTTCCATGGAAGGAGATATGAGACAAACCAGCACTGATGAGACATAAACCTCCCTTCCTCCAGGATTATTCCCTTCCCTTGAAGTCAGGAACTGAATTAAGCCCGGTGAAGAACCCCTGCCTTCCCCAGGATGCCAGCTCCCCTTCCCCATGCCTTGGTGCCAGCACCCATCCCGGGCACGGGGCAGGCACCCCCCAGTGAGGTTTCTCCCAGCTGCTCAGACCAGACACTGGGGTGTCGCACACTGCCGGCGCTCAGGGGACATCCCACAAGCTTGTCTGGGGAGGGCAATGCACCATCTCCATCACCACCAGCAGCATCCATGGCTGCAGTCTCTAATTTAGTGTGATTAATACGAAGACAAGGACAGGTAATGAGCACTAAGCAGTTCTCTTTATAATCCTAACAAGGCTCAGCAGAAATCATTAGCATAAAGCCTGCCACTACTTTTAGATGAGTTTTATACAGATTTTAGGTCATTTATACAGCCAATTTATGCCATCCTAAAGCAGGAGGAGCCTTTCCTAACTGCCCGTGATCCATCTCAGCCTGGCTTACGTGGAAACGTCTGGCCGAGAGTGCTGCGGGTGCAGTGCTTTGTGTGTTTACCTCGACAGGGACGGTGCTGGATGCCAGTGCCCGAGGCACCCAGTGCCTGCTGGGCTCCCCTTGCCCGCCGTGCTGGGTGGCAGCTGTGGGTGTGCTGGTGGCATGTGGCCAGGGACACGTGCGAGCCGTGCCCCAGCTCATCCACACCAGCCTCCACACTCGGGATTTGGGGACTTACCCCATCTCAGCAGTGCTGGTGCGCTCAGGAATGGAGCAATAGGTAATTAAAAGGGCTTTTTATTTCCACATTTCCACTGTATTCTCTCAACTTTTGCCTCCCAAGAGCAGAAATCAGTTCATTTAGAAATGTTTATTAAAACGCAATGATTTCCGAAAAACACGTAGACTGCTACGGTCTCTCTTCAACTAACCAGTCCATAACCTCGCGCAGGTTAGGCAAGCCTCGTGATTTCCTTTATCCACTTCAGGTATTTGGAGACCCTGGTGTAGATGCCGTATTTACCTGGCTTGGCACATTCCTCGCCCCAGCTGGTGATCCCCGTGAGAAACCAGGTGCCCTCAATCTCGGTGGTGTAGGGACCTCCGCTGTCCCCCCCGCAGGTGTCACTGCCCCCAGCCGGGAAGCCGGCGCAGAACATGTTCTGCAGGATGGTGGTGGAGGTGCTCTTGAGGCAGGTCGGCCGGTCAACAAAGGGCACCTTGAGGATCTGGAGGACGGTGGCGGGCCGGCCGCGGAAGAGCATGCTGCCCCAGCCGCTCACCGTCCCCATCCCGTGCTTCAGCAGGGCGTTGGTGAACTCCCGGTTGCCGATGCAGATGGGGGTGACGTAGCTGTTGAAGCTGAGCGGCTGGTCCAGCTCCAGGAGGGCTATGTCGTTGTGGTGCTTGTTGATCGTGGCGTTGTACGTGGGATAGGGAAGGATTTTCACCACCTTACGCCGCTGCTCCGTGTTGTCTTCCTCGTTGGTGTTGTATTCACCTGCAGAGACAAGCGTGGCGCGGGCTGGACCCCCTCCATGGCTGGACCAGTGACTATGCCCTGATGATGCCATCCTTATGAGACACCAGCCCGGCGGGGTGGTTGCAAAGGGATGAGCGCTGCACGCCCCAGCCCTCGCGCTGCTCTGAGCCTGCTGCTGGCAAGGCCACTTGCTCCTCGTCAAAGGGCGCTGGAGGTTCGCCCACAGCAGCACCTCCTCGGTCCCCTCAGCTGGCAGGACCCAAACCCCCAGATGTGACACTGGGCACGCACTGACCGATCAAGTGCCAAAGGTCTAGGTGATGTTGCCAAGGTTGGTAGCAATGTGACTGTTTTCAGGATTTAGCACCCTCAAGGAGACGGGAGGATGTTGCCCTTGCATCAAGGGGGGGAAAGCCTCTAGATTTAACAACCTTTGTTTAAAATAAATAATTTATTAGTCAAAAGAATCCTGACCTTCCCTTTTCTAAAACCGCACAGCCATGGGGCAAAATGAGGTGCAGAGGGCTACGAAATGCCACCCCCCGCAGTGTTCACAGGTGACCCCAGGTCCCTGCTGCCGGCACGAGGCTCAGCTGCTTGCGATTGCAGGCTGCTGCTGGCAGCTTCAGGCTCCTGTGATTGAGTTGCTGGCAGCCTGTTACCTCCCCTCCCGGCTTGTGTAACAGGTAGAGGGAAGGGAAAATGTTCTGTGGTCTCAAGTCAGCAAACGGGCAGCGTCTGGGTCTGTCTGTAGCCGAATCCCCTCTCCCAGCAGTGAACTGGCTGTGCTGAAGGCTCCCGAGCAGTATGACTTTTCCTGCCTGCTTTCTCGCAGCCCAAAAGGCTCAGGGTGCTTTTAACCCCTGCTGCGGTATTTCTGCGTGCTTTGCTGTAATCTCCAGAATATACGATCGCCTCTAAACAATATCTGCGGCACTCCTGGCCCTGGCAGTGTCCTGTGTCTGCTGCGTCTGTCTGCGAGGAACGGCACGGAGCCCAGCAAGAGAGGTGAGGCAGCTTTCTGTGTTCACGGTAATGCTGGCGCCTGATGAAGGCGGGTTTGGTGGCTGGTGCTGCTGATGTGCTCTGTGAGGGATTTTTTTGCAGCAGAGTGTGAATGTCAGCTTTCTCACAGGCTGTGTTTCTACACTGTAAATGTGAGACAGATGTTGGGGAGACTTTGAGAGGGTTTTTCTTATGCTACAGCTGCTTACTATTGCTGGAGACGTGAAAATATGCTTTGGGGATGAAAGTGGAGAGGCAAAGAAGGACAGGGGAGGAGAATGCTTCTTCCACCCTCTGCTATTGATTTTTGGGCCTCCTAGGGTGCTATATACAAAGCTGAACATTTAGTATGAATGCACATGAAGGAATCAGATGTTGCCCATGCAGTTTACATGGTGTAGGCACAAATCCAATAGTCCCTGAGGACCTGCAAAATTGTGTTTTGCTTTCTTGACTTGCTGCCTGTCCAAAATCCTGTCCTGGAAACCCAGCGGTGCTGCAGAGTGATGTGAAGGTAGCGCGAGAGGAGCTGGCTGATAATGTGTCCTAAATGGAGGGGTGTGTGACATGCAGGAGAGAGCCTGGAAGGAGAGGCAGTTTGCATGCAGGTGCAGCAAACGCAAGCCTCTGTCCAGCTGGAAAAATGCTTTTTTGGGGGAGTAAGACTGTTTTTGCACTGGGCATTTTGTACTTTCTCACATTAGCAGGTGGAAGGCTGGGCTTTGTGCTGGGCTCTCAAGCAAAACTGCCTGAAAGTAGATAGAAAAAAACCCGCTGCCTGCAAGCTGCAAGCCCCATCCTGCCAGCGCCGGGCAGGTGGTGCCCAGCCCTGCGGTGCTCAGTCTCCAGGGTCTGGCCAGGCACAAGCTCCAGGAGCTCAGCCACGTTAACATGGAAGATGAAGCTCTTGATGAGCTTATTTCTGCAGATATAAACTCGGTGTTCAGTGCTCAGGTAGAATCTCACTTTTGTCACTAACATATTTCACAGTGTTTAAACAGAAAGCATGATTCTTTCCTGCCTCCTCTCAGGGCTACTTGTAGCGATTATTAACCATACCAGTGTTCCCCTCCTGTACTAGATATTCATACAGGGGAGAAACAAATAATTTGGGGGAGGTGGTTCTGCCACAGCAGTGAAACGTGGCACTGTGCTGCTTGCCAAGGCCCCGTGCCGGGCTATCGGCAGGCTGCCTAGCAGGCGGGCTGGAACAGCTGGGGACCAAGAGTCAGGGGGAAGCACTGTTTTTCAAGCCGAGATACATTTGTTTGTAAAGCAGCAGCATCGCTTGCTGTGCAGCCTGGCCACACTGCCCCTGCCTAACTCCCCAGAACCCCTGTTGTGAAAGTACACTTTCCCACATGCCGGCCCGGTTTCTCTACTTCAATCCATAAATACCATATACTTATAGACAAGTTAGAAGCGAAAGTAATCATCTGCTCCTTGCAAGGAGCTAGTCAGGTTACTGGTGCACCTCTTGGACCAGCCACACAAATCCATTCTCTGAAAGTTGTGTGAAAACTTAGTGTGACCCCCAAGAGGAGCAGAAATCCCTAGTGAGGTCCTATGTGGCCAGCAGATATAAATCCATCATGCCAGCTCGTGAAGCAGCATCTTAACTGAAGTTCACCAGGCTTTTAAGCAGCCTGAGGTCCTCTCCGGCCCAGTTGAGCTTGCCTGCAGTCAGGTTGAGCTGTCTTTGCAACATGGTCCAGCAGCTCTGTGGCTTTGGGCCCAAGGCCAGACCCAGCTCACTGCTCCCATCAGAGGTGGTGGCACCTGCAGAGACCAGGCTGCCAAAACGCTGCAGTCTGCAACTGGGGCCTCGGTGCCCTAAAGCAACTCGTGCCACGTTGCTGCCCATCGTGTTGGTGTGGGCCCCAGGGTTCTGTGCAATGCCTTGTGCCTGGTCGGCGCAAGCCCTGTCCCACGTCTCTTGCCTGCGCTGGCTCGATGCCACCCCAGGTGCTCACCTGCCACGGCAGTGACGTCATCGCCTGGCTGCAGGCAGTGCGCTGCCGTCACTACCCATTTCTCATTGATGATGGATGCACCGCAGAAGCCCACGCCTTCGCTGTTCACCAGATAAACCTGTGGGAGCAGAAGGAAATCACACCTGTGGGCCTCTGTAAATCAGAGGGGAAGAAGAGTGAGACGCAGGGGTTTTGTTTGGCTATAGGACAGGCTGTGCTTAGGTCGTACAGACCCAGTGCTGCCAAAGATGCTGCTCCTCGGGCTGTCCCTGCCCCTCCGCCCCCCACTCTGTCGCAGAGGGTGGCCAGCGCTGCCCTGCACACATTAGTGCCCCATTGCACTTCTCCTCCCTTCGCTGCCAGGCTGGGAGGGCAGACAGCCCTGCACATAAACCTCAGCGTAAAACTCAGAGCGTCTGAAATACAAGCACTTCTGCACATACCTCCTGAAAGTGTTTTGGCAGTGACTAGATCTTTAACTAGTTAACTAGGGACAAAATCTTAACTTCCTGTTACATTTGGGCATCTAACTTCCTCAGCATTTATGGGGCACAAGCCAGGACATCCCTTATGCTAAAACTTCTGATTAAATTGATCAGCTGACTTGGTGAACTGTGTTTAAAAGACGGATTTCTTTATAATTCACCTATTTCATTCCGTTTGCGTGATGTGGCTCGCGACTGTCTATCTGCCGCATACTTTCCCCGTATTTACTCATTTGATGCCTCGTTAGGCAGAGCCGGCAGCGTTTTAAGGAGCTCAATATCCCTAACGAAGAGGATGAAGCTCGTCCATGGCGATGAGCCAGACCGCCTCCGCACTCGCAGCCATCCCCATCCCCGGTGTCCCGCCTGGGCTCAGCCCCAGCGCTCCGGGCCGTGCCTGCACCAGCCCGGCCGCAG